CCTGCTGCTGCCGCGCCGAGACGGCTTTGGGGCCTAGGCTTGTCTTGTGCCGCAGCTTTACAGGCGTACACGGCAGCCTTTCAGGAGTTTGGATGTAGCGGTTTGAGCTCATTTACAAACGCTGCTTTCCGCACTTGATGTCACCTTAAGTGAACATAGCTTTCTGTTTACTCCCTTGTTTATGCCTGGATGTAATTTCATCAGCGTGCTGCAGTCAAGCGTTCTGTGGCAGATGAAGAAAGGAAATATGGGTCAGTGCAGAAGCTGTAAATTTGCAACTGAACCCAAAGGATGACACGGAAAACCTCATCATAGGCAGTGCGTTAAAGCGATAGTCACATAGTACTCTGCTGAATAAAGTCTAAACCCTGCTTAGTCTCAGGAGGTATGTGCATTTTTCCATTGCAGATAGGAATCTGGAAGACCCCTCCAATTTTGTGGCCCAGTCTCAAGATCCATTTATGTGTGTGTCCTGTTTATTAATGATTGTCTCCTGGGGTGGTAAACCTCCCCTGATGATCGTGTGTTGGCAGAAATTCATCATATGATACAGTACTTCCCCTGCTTTGCTCAGGTTATGCTTCTTGTTTGGGTCTTTGCTCCAGCACGTCCACTTTAGGGCGAAAACAACTTCCTAAGGCAGCACCAACCCACAGGGCCCGTGGCACAAAGGGCAGCTCTGACAGCCAGGACTTGTCCAGCTGTCCGGGTACTTGGAGCTGCAAGCTCACTCCGTGTTGCCCTGTGGTTTGTGGCTCCCGCCGTCACTCGGATGGAGAGGCAGGACCGATCCTTCTCAGGGGGAGCTGGCCCTCTGCTGGATTTGCGGGAAGAGAAGCAGCTGGGAACAGCCTTTACTGCCTGTGACAGGCACGCAGCCCTCCCTCCCAGACGGGCTCTTTCCTAGGAGAGACATTGCCAAATGTTCCAGAGCATCTGGGAGTCGGCCTCCACGACTAGAGCAGACATGGGCCTCCCTAGAACGTGAAGGCTGAATTTTGATGGAAGCAGTTAGTGTTACTTGCAATTAAACATTCTTACTTTCTGTGTGTATGTTCACATACCTATGTGTATATCTATCTACACATGTACTTGTCTGCATGTATATAGACATAATGCTAAAGCAATCTGCTATGAGCAGTACTGCGTCCTTCCAGTTCTGAGGTCTTCTCTGGACACTTCCTTAACAGTGCTTGGGTTACTGTAAATAATCTTGTTAGAAGTGGTTTTCTTCTATCCCATATGCTCTAATATATAAAAATCTCATTGAATTCCTCATGCAATCTTTCCTGTTGATTATTCACTTAACATAAATCATTGCAGCTCCTACACACTGTATTAGTTTGTGTGGTGGTGTGCATATAGAGCTTTCTCAGCTTCCTGACCCCTTTACAGATACAGCAAAGCACATGGGAACTTACTAGTGAAACTTGAAATTGCTGAACTGTTTCAGTTAGGAAACTAATACTTACTGTTTTCTCTGTTTGAATTCTATGATCGTGTTTTACTACTGCCATAGGAATTTTCAGCCAATGTTTTGAGCATAGTTTATGTAGACTCCAAAATCCTTTGTCAGTGAATACATTTTAATATTTTTTTTTTATGTTACAGCTTCCAAACTTCCTATAGATGGTTTCTGTGAAAGATGATATGCTATGGTCACTAGCCTTTATTATGATCTCTCAAATATTTTTTCTGAATTTTAATGATCTAGCTTTTTGCCTAGGTCTTTCAGTGAAAGAATTCATATATTCTTGCCTCATATTTGCTCTTCATAATTAAGATGCAACCTAAAGAGTAATTTAGGTTCCAAATCTTTAACTACTTTGTGTGTGTGGTACATCTGAGCAATCTGTGTCCTTCTGTTTTTATACTGTTTGCATCAATAGTGATGGCTGCTGCTTCACTATGTGCATCATCTTTAAACATAATTAGCTTTACAGTTGCCATTCAATGGCTTTTCAGCTCAAATGCTGCAGATCAGGGAACAGTGGACAGGGCAGTCAGGATCAAGCAGCTGTAGTAATGAATATAATTTCATTTCTGTAGTCTCCTTGTGAGGCCATCTTCAGAATCTTTTTTGGTTTAGGATTCTTTGCTTACAGGCTTGGGCTCTGATAATATTTTATGCTAATTTTCTCTTTTAAAAAATGCTCATTGTTAATATCCTGGCTGTATGCTATTAATAAGTATTCTGAGAAATCAAGTTGTACTTTAGTAATCTGCATCCTCGGCATTTGCTTACATGTTGTGATTGTATTTTGTGAATTGCTGATGCAGTATAGAACTGTAGGCAACCACATTTGTTCCAAGGTGTGTAAGTTGGAATGTGTGACTTAGGCTAATCTTATTTCCCTGATTGCCACATTTGTGGAGACATTTAGAGCCTGTAGAATTTGGCCTCCTGCTAATGCTTGTAGAAGTTGCCAGTGGAAAAATATCAATGTTTACCCAGTTCTTGTGCTCTCTCAAGGTGCTGCAGTCTCCCTCTCTAACATACATATATGTTTACATGTAGATATATGATAAAAGAGTGGAAATTAGAAAGCTTTATGCCTATGTGTAAAGACTTTTCATTGTTAAACAATCAATATATGTTTCACTGCCTCTTTGGGTCATTAACCTGTTCCTGTTTTTCTGATCTCTTTTGTCTGGATGGCTATGTCCTGCTTTATTTCTAGTTTTCACCCTGATGACAGGACTAGAATGCAAGATCAGTATCTGTACCTTACTGGTTTTATTTTCTTGCAGCATTGGACAGTAAGTGAGCAGAGGCATTTGTCCTGCAGGTCACATTCCTTTAGCTTTTTTGCATTTTCCTCAGAGATGCAAATATTTTCTGTGATGTCCCTAGCATAGCACTCTTGATGACGCTTCTCTTAGTATTGTTTCTCTGAGCTGCTTCTGTGGCTGCATACTGGCAGTAACTTTTAGTGTGGCTTTTTTTTTCCTCTCCGATTTGTTGTATTTGAATAATTATACTGCCCATTTTAATGCCTAGCTAGTCCTGTGATAATTAATAGTGCTTGGACTGGGGATAGTGAAGAGCTGGTAGAGGTTTCTGTTGCTGGACCCTGAATACAGCTAGGGAATGTGGTCTTCTCTCTGTGCATAAAGAAGACTGTTTTATGGGAGACATAAAAAGTTACCAGATCTCTGTACCACACAGAAATAAAAGTCTTTGGTGATACAGATGTAGGAAGGAAACAAAACTCTGATGAACAAAAGAAAAAAAAGGTGGTAGGGATGGGGAGATAATATTGTGAATGAAAACTAGGATAGGATAAATGGAAATAAAAATGGTATCTCCACAGATAAACTGTTTTTCTGTGAGGTGTCAGTTCCCTGCCTTTTCCTCCTGTATCCCATTCCTGTTTCTGTCAAGATGTTGAGCTTATACTTTTACCTCCAGCTGAGGAGAACTGGGCATGGTTCCAGTGTTAGCTGGAGTCAGGCTTTTTCCTTCTTCACACCTCTCTCTGAATTAAAGTGTACATGCATCCTTAGAGTAAAGTCCTGCATGAGGTGGATGACCTTAAAGATGAGTGTTGTTGCAAAGACCTTAGTTATTACTGTAGCTTAGTTGGTGTTTTCTCAGACACTGAAGGCATGAAATGTTACTGACAGACTTCCATGGAAGATGTGAATTGTTTATAGTAAAGTGAGCTATCTTACCTAAAGTAAAGCCTTACATATTTTGAACTGAAAGAACATTGAACATATTCTCACTCCAATGATTTCTGACTAACCTTACTTGGTAATTACAGGAATGTAAGTGAATGAAAGATTCTACTAGGGTTTTTTTTCTTTTCTATTTGGGTTTTTTTTTCCTTTTCTTATGAATGTGGGGTTTTTTGTATTGAGAATTTTAGAAATTCCAAATCTTTATGTGTGATGGAATAAGACGTTAGTGTTTTAAGGCAGCTGCTTAGCAACACTGCTTGGCTGTTTCACAATCAGCCAGCTCTTCCCACACACTGCAGTGAGATGTACGTCATTTCACGGTGACTTGCATTCCAGCTTTTCTTTTGAGTTTGTCTTAGATCTTAAAGAAAATTAAATAATAAGAGCTGGAAAAAGGAGCAGGAACCTTTCGTGTCTTAACTTTTTTATAATAGCATGATTAATGCTTTAATATCCTTTTGCAATAACGGTGTTCCAGAAGTTCCGGCTAAGAAAACCTGGGTGAAGCCCAAGAGCTAATTCAAACCACTTGGGAAACCCCCCTGACAATCCCCCTCAGCTGGGTCCCAGCATTTGATGTAGAGCTGGGGCAAATTCCCACGTGAGCCTCCACTGCCCAGATTTCTAAAATTTTCAGTAGCAGAAAAGGTTACATTTGGTAAGAATGAATGCTGGAGAAGATAACCAGTGAATTGACCAAGCTATCTGTTTACATGAGCAGCACCACAGGAATCAGGGGAAGTAAGTACAGGAATCTGAATCTTGAGTTTGAGACTGAAGTCACCAAACCACTCTACCTACTGGCACCCACTGAATGCATTTGCTGTACTTAGCGCTTAAATGCAGATTACAAAGCTGTCCCTCAGTCAGTGTCAGTGAAGCACAGATAAGGTGGTAAGACCCTTTACACTTCTTGTGTTCTGTCATGGGGTCTAAGGTTGAAATATTTTTCCATCATGGGTAAATATTACTATTGTGATACTAACTTCTAAATATTTTTCAGTTCATGCAACAGTGTAATAAAACACTCTACAAACTGTTTCCAATCTATGCATTTCCTGAGAGAATATGAAGCTAAGATTTCAAAGTGATATACTGGTCTGAATTGTTGATTGTTCCTGCAGTACTCAAAATATTCAATATCAAGAGTATCACTCAAAATAGTAATTGAATAATAATCATTGCAAATCTTCTAATTTAAGGATAAACAACATATAATTAAGTACAATTTTTTTTTAATGGATGCACTTGTACTGGGAGCAAACCAGCTTTTTAAGAGGTTGGAGTACAATTTAGTCTTGTAACTTGAAAGTTGAGGGCAATCAGTGCTGTAAATTCAGGTTTTTAATAGGCAGGGAGGGAAGAGTATCTAATAAAGTCAACCTAACTGATAATGGAGGATGTGCTGCTTTAGAACAGTGTTCTGCATACAGAGAAGAAACTTTTCATCATACTCTTAGGAGCAGACCAAGTGTGTCCAGCATTTTCTTGTACTTTATTATCTAGGAATTAGCATGTTCTCTGACCTGCTAGAGATATCAGATTATAATTTTCACAAGAAAAGAAGAGGAAACAGGATAAGAAAAAACTTGATTCTTTAAATGTTTCCTTTCAGTCTGCAGATGAAACTAAAGTGGAACGAGTATCTTTAAAAAGGATGAAAATGTGGGTTTCTGCAATGTGACAAGTATAGTATGTGGTTTTGTGTTTGTGTGAAAAAGAAATTTAGTACAAGGCTTCGTATCCAAATTTGTAGAAGTGATTTATTCAACTGAAATATCCTTTCAGAAGAGATAAAAATAGCATTGCATTTTCACATTAACATTTTTTTGTTGAAATGATACCATACCAAAAATCTTTTCCACTGTTCTGTTTGATAAACTAAAATGGGATGTTACCTATAATTGGATGAATCATCAACTGTGGGAATTGGCATTAATTTCCTTTGTTGTGAGAAGTGATACTGGTGTGAGAGAGGTCTCAGGAAGAATACCAAATACTTCTAAGTTGTTAGTCATTGAAACGTAATAATGGTGGGGGCAACTAGGGACTGTGAAACAGTATGAGACTTACCTTGTTTAAAATTGAACTTCAAAGCTTCTTTCAATTAACCAGTGTAAAAGACTTAAACTAATAAAATGAACTCTGGTTATATTTCTGTTGGAAAAAGCCAATTACTTTCTACCAATAACTATGTATGCTTTGGGACAGAAATAATATTTAGAGTTCCTGAGGTACTTGGTATACTGAGGTCACATATTGCTTCTCAAATTATTTAGCCAAAAAGGGCAATACTAAAGTTTTAGGGATGTGGTGCTTCTTCCTTTTTTTGGTTCTCCAGTATTATTTAAAAATGCTGAATTACTAAATCAACCTTGTTTTAAGTAACACAGCTGTTAATATGTGCTTTTCTCTTCTGTGAGTCGGAGTATATATCTAGAGGACCATAAGGTGCTTGCTGCTATGGTTGCCTTTGCTAAATTCTCTTCTTTCCTTCAGGGACATGTAATCTTCTGTTGTCATTTGGAAATCACACATTGCTTGTCTTCAATCCTGTATTTTGCAGTGCCAGGGTGTTCAGATGTTGGTGTAGCGGTGCTCTCTATCTGGTGCGAGGCTTTGTGATGTTTTCTTAGCTTCTGTAGAAAGGCTGACTAGCATCAGGGTGATAATGAGGCTTTTTGCAACGTGTTAATTAAATTTTATAAATGCATGTTGAGTAAATCCAGTGGAACCGGTTTTTGAAGTAAAATACAAACACTACACACTCAGACTTCCTCCATAAACAAATGATTGTGATTCATCTTGCAGTGTTTCATGAACTGTACATTTCTTTCCTGGTTAGTTGTCTGTGCAATGAACACAGGTTGGCTTGCACACTCTCCATTTCATGTTGTATACATTTCATGTATGTAACAGGTACTAAAATGATATATAAAATACTTTTCTACTTTTGTTTCTTCTTTGAAGATTCCTTTTAAGGCGATACTGAGATTTTCAAGAGTGAACAATTTGTTAAACACGAGGGTGGAGTTGATAAAACTGTACCAGCAGAGATGCATATTTTCATATTTGGCACTGGTGTTTCCTACTTGATGGCAATCTACAAATATTTACATACTGCAAAAGTAAATGAGTTATTGTGGTAGCTGTTGCCGTTTCGTGCTTTGACAGGAAGGAGTCCTGACTCTGTGTGTCAGAGTTCAGTCACAGACTATACACACAGGTGTGGAGTGTTGCACACACAGCTTCTGCTCCAGCTGCCATTTTGTCATCTCAAATGCAGTCTGTTCAGATCTCCTTCTTTTTTCTTCCTGCTTATTGTGCTTTAGAGTATTAACTGTTAGTTAGAAAGGAGCACTTCCATTTGTCATTTATTTTTCAGGGTCAGTGTTTCAACATTTTTTTCTTTGAGATGCACATGTGTTGTCCTTAGGACTTGTTTTGTACAGAGCATACAAGAACTCGTGTGTGTCATACTTTGTGTCACAAGGAGAGATCAGAGGGCCCTATGCAAGGTGGTCAGCATTGTGCCAGGTACTGCACAGATTGAACTCAGGGCAGGGAAGGATATTCTGGGTTAGAGGAAGATGGATGTGCTGCCTGTGTCCCACTGAAGGTGTGTGTTTCTGTTCTGTGGAGCTGGAACACTGAATGCTCTGGAGAGCTCTCCATCACTAATGTTGGCCAGGAAAGGTCACCCAGGGCATGAGGGAGCAGATCCTATTGACACACTAGATCTGGGAGGAAGAGAGCTGAAGTTCTGTATTTGCAGTGTGACGTGGCTGGCCTGGTGGTCTAGGAACACTTCCTGCATTTTATTAAATGCTATATATGAATTTGATACTCTTAACAGGCACTATAACAGCTGGATGAGCTCGCTTGCATAGTAATAGTATTGTTTTAAAGCAAGTGCCAGATGTAGAGGCTTATTGCCCACAGGCACTGATCTGTTCAGCTGCCAATATCAGCTTTCTACTCTCTTGTTCTGGCTGTAGCATGACTTTTCCCCTTGCTCCTTCAGAGGTTATCCACCTCAGCAAACTGGTGCCTTGGCACTCTGAGGGCATATTGGGGTGCTGATGGTGTCAGTTAGGCTACAGTTAGATTTGCCCACCTTCCCTTCCCATAATACCTGGGTTTACTTCTGTGTTGTGTCACATCCATAGAAATCTTCCCTGAGCTGATTGGAAAGATCTCTGTGCTTCTGGGATGTTCATAACAAATCTGCAAATTGTTGGATGGGCTGTGAGTTTAACAGGATGGGTGCTCATTAGAGGTTTCAAATTAAAATGCTGCCAAGCTGGAGCTGCTGCATTGCACCTGTTGTGTGGTGTTGCTGCTGTTGCAGCTGCTGCCTGTGTCTGTGTTCCTTGCTGCAAAGTGTGCATCTCTTTAGGAGCTGAAGTTCTGGAGAACCTAACTGTGAGCACTTTGGAGCAGTAAATTGCCTTCCTGAAGTATAACAACTACCGGGGTAATGGCCCATCAGGGCTTTGGAGCATTGCTGCTGTATGTTTAATAAATTATAAACCAAATATATCTTAGGGAAATACAGATCATTTAAAGTTTCTGCTGCTTACTACAGGGGATTCAGGATTGTCTGTTTGGGTCCATTTTTGGATGTGTTGAAAGAATCATTTACATTTGCAGTCTAAAGAAGAGAGCCTTTTGCACCAATGAATGATGCTTTCTCTAATCATATTGTTCTCACTACAGTGCTTAAGCAAAAACCATTTCAGAAGCATTTCGTAGTTTAAAGGTTTGCAGGTTTCTGATTCTTATACTAGTCTTAAAATTTCTCAGTCTTTCTAGCATTTCCTGTGATCCACAGGACAGATTAAATAAATTAGCATAGAGAAACTTGTAGTGTGTTCTGTAGATTTATTTTGAACCTGTTTTCCATCAAGCTTTTCTGTACTAATGTTCCCACCTGGAACAGCAATACTAGCAAACATTGCCTTTTTTTAAAACACCTGTAAAAGCTGTCAGATTTTCTTTTTGTGAGTGATGCAGCAGTCTACATAAAACAAGAAGCAAACCAGAAGGGGTGGAGAAGAGGGGACATACATACTCGTCTCACTTTTAGACAAGACTCAATGGATGGGTTTGGTATATTTTTTCAGGATTAGATTAGTGGCTGCTTTTTGGTAGTGGTGGTTGTCTTTGACAGGTTTGTAGCTTTGAGCTGAGATCTGCCTTTGTTTAGAACCAGTTCAACATCCTTCAAGCAGTGAGATATCCGGACAAAAAGGAATTTCATCTAATCCTTCTTTTGAGGAAAATATAACAAGAAAAGAGCAGAGTACAGGCATAAAGCAGATCTTGTGCTAATGCCAGTTAGGAACATCATACTCTTAACAAGAAATTGGGGGATATAAGCAGGGTGTTGGCTGCAAGATGTGAAAACTCTGGTATGAGCAAGTAAACCTTTAGCTGGAGTTCTCAATACTGCAGGGCAGAAAGGATGAGAGTCCAGGAGATCCACAGGGAGGTGTTGAGAATCCTCACACACTAGGAAAGAAAAAAAAAAACCAGGAACAGTCTGGGTAGGCAAATCTTGTTTTTTCTTGGAAAGGAGACTGATGTGACACATGATGAGTCTTCAGGGAAGTAAATAGTTACTGTATAATAGAAAGCAACAAAGTTTGCTATTTCCATTGTGAGTGGGGCAGAAAATACAAAGTAGTGGCAGAGGACATCAAAATCAGTAATTAAGAAGGGTTTTCCTTTCTAATAATAAGGGTAGTCAAGCACTGGAATAGATGGCTAAGGGTGGTTGTACAGTCCCCAGCATTACCAGTCATTTTTAAAAGAGCAGTTTGAAGAAGTAATGACACTTACTGTTGATTGAGCCTTGGAAGAAAAAAGGATTAGTGTCTTCACATGGTTTCCTTCTGAATCTTTTTTTCTAGATGCCTTTTAAAAAAATGAGCTAAAGTAATGTAGGAATATCCTGGGAAAATAGCAAAAAATTACTCTGTGGCTTTGCAAAAATGTATTGGTTTACATTTATTCCTATTTTCCTTCTCATTTGAAATATTTTGATAGTTTAGGTGATGTAAAATGTATTGTGAGTTGAACTGTTGAACTGTGCATTATCCCCAATTTTTTTGTACGTTTATTAGAAAGATCATGCATATAAAAAGAAACTTGTATTAAAAAAAAAGCCTGCATTCAGGCAACTATTGAGTTTTGTAATTTCTCCAATAGTTCAAAAACATCTTTGATGTTTTTTATATCTTAAACTGAAACAATATCACTTTGGTGGCAGCCCAGACCATCATATGTGAGTTATAAATTTATAAATATGAAAATAATTTGAGATCTCAGAAAAGTAGTGCATTTATTTTACGTGGCAAAGTTATTACAATCCAAATCAGTCATTGGCTGGAAAAGCTAACAAAAATGCATGTGAATAAAAAACCTTATCCATCTGGTGTTGTTTATGTCTTGCAACTGTATTGTACTGGTCATCACTTAGTCCACATGATCTGCATATGATTGTTCAGGGGTTTTTGTTTGTCTTGATTTATAGATGACTTTGATGAGCTTGTGGTGAGTAACAATGATGTTGTGCTCAGAAATATCGCTGAAGATTTGCGGAATCGTTTACCCATCGAGGCAATGTTCACTTCAGAACATCAAGCTGTTCAGAAAGTAAGCTAATTGTTATGGTCTGATTTTTGACTGAACCACATCATTTATTCTGATGGCATTTTAGCAGTAGTTTATAATAGAAAATGAGCATGGATTGACATATAGGAAATCTCAGTTTGGTTCTCAGGTCTGTTGCTCTATGTTTGCATGACTCCAAGAAAGTTGCTTCATAGTTTTTAATGCTTTGATCATATGTTATTTGGGATAGCTTTCATTCTGTGTGGTATGGCACCTGTCACAGTGATTCTTCAGTGCTAGCTCCATAATAGACTTTTAACAGCCCCCTTAAAGACAGCAGGAACACAAGGCCAGTGTTTGCTGTTGCCATAATGTGGGCAGCCCCGAGATGATATCCAGCTCTTTTCAGATTCTCATGCCTCAGAAACAGGTGGGCTGTGAGTCCTGTGGGAGGAGAGTGCACCTTTCCTACTTGACCTGTCAGTGTGCAAGGAAAGTTAATGCATTTTCCAGAAAAGTGATGTGTGGCTCTTCAGTGGGAGAAGTGGATTGGCCACATGCAGCAAGCCTGGAAAAGGGAGGAAAGATAAGTAGGAGGATGAAGATTATTCCCCTTGAAATTATGAGAGGGCAGGCATCTCAACTGGTATATTTTTGATTGAAAGTGACACCCATGTTAATTAGGGGTGCTTCTAGATAGAGGCATAAGGCACAATGATGGAAACAGTCAGTTGAGGCTGAGAAGCAGAATTGACCTTTCTGCTAAGTTTAAGTTACATTCTCCTCATTAAAAGAGGAGGAAAAGCTTCTTTTACCCTGTATGTTCTCTAGCCAAGCAAGCACTAAAGAGACAAAATTCACATAGGCCTCCCTACTCAGGTATCAAAACCAGTTTGCTTTTGTTTGTTGACCACCACTTACTGGTTATCTCAGTGGAATTTGATAACCCAGTTTACATGCAGGATTTCTGTAGCTTAATTTTTTTTTTTTTTTGGTAATTGTTGCATGGGGAAAAGTGTGGATCTCGGGTAGGATGGTGGGACAGTTAACATGTGACAGTGTAACTGAAGTTAAGAGACTTGGTTATGCCTTTCTAAGGTTTTGTTCCTCTTCTCAGATACACCAGCATCCACTGCCCATGATTCATGTTGATGCATTCCTTTATGATGATGATGATGTTGATTCATTGTGTGAGGAGGGGAAAATGAGTAGGAGCTACTGCACAGAGTGTGGCTCATACAAAACTGCATCTTTAGGTAAGTGTTCTTTCGGGAACATGAGAAACAAATTGAGTTTAACTAAACTGGTTTGTGCAATGACTCAGCTGGACATGACAACATCCAGCTGATGGGGGATTTTGTCCAGACTGCTGCAATATACAGACCAGAATTATTTCTCATAACCAGTGGAAGGAGGCTCCTACACATGTAAGTTGAATTAATTTGCAGTGTGAGTGACAATTGTTGCCCACAAAAACTGGGCAGGTTAGAGGCAGGCTAATGTACCACTGGAGAGGAAGATGCAAGAGGAAGACAATACTGTAGAGTCCATGCAGTAGCCTGCATCTCCTCTTGCATGCTGAAGAACAGTGGAAAGCACCATCTGTCTTAAAGCTTGTGTGTGGTGGTACAGATCAGTGCTGTTGCCAGTAGAGCACAGCCATGGAAGGAATAGTTTATATGGAGAACATTCCATTCATTAAAACTTTGGAGTTGAAATTAAAGCTGTTAATATGTCTGCCCACAAAAAGTTTTGCACAAATTGTGTTTGCTACGTTTCCTTTTTCAGTTAAACAGTTCCAAGATACTTCGTTTTGTATTCTTTAACATACTGTGCAGAAAAAGGTAATTCAGTTTCATGAAGGATTTCGAAATTCTCCATGTAAGGCAAGGAATCCTCAGACTTGGGACAGGCTTCTTGGCTGATTACCTCTGATCTGCAAACCCTGCCCTAGTGCACTAGTGCAGGCAAGAAACCACACAAGGTTTCAGTGAAGATAATACTTCAGGTTACTATTTCAATGGTTAATTACACAGTAGTTAGTACTGCCCACCCAACACCTTTGTTCTGTTCTTATTTCCCAGAGTTTATTTCGCATTCCTTTTCCCTCATGGAACTGAAGTTTCTTTATCACCATGTACTGCCTGACCTGACAGGAAAGGTAGTGGTTGACGTTGGCTCCAGGCTTGGTGCAGTGCTATTTGCGGTAACTTCCAGCACAGGAATTCATATTTTTTTACTGTGACAAACATTTTCCCTCTTTTCTGACTGCCTACTCTCATTACTCAATATTGGATGGGTCATTCTGAGAGGCACCTCTGATCTGCCTCTCTGAGAAGTGTAAGGTGCTGTTTACTAGCAATTTCAGTTCTTCCTCTGTTGCTCACAAGAGGGAATAGAAATGATCCTGCTTATGGAGAGGAAAAGTCTGTTGTCCAACAGAGTAGCATATTGCTGTCACACATGCTGCTCTTTTGCTCATTCCTGCTGTCTCTTTCATGTCAGTTTGTCCTCTTATGTCTTGACCATGCCTATATATTAGTTATGTTAAATTCCTTTATGAAGCTGATAAACTGTTAAAATATACAAAGGAACACTTTGATATGTATTTGTCTCCAAAAACATATTGTCCTGCACTGCATTTTAAAATGCACATAAAATACTTCATCAAGAAACTTGAGTGCAATTTTGATTGCTTTTGGCATGGCTGGTACAACATATGGCCAACAGCAATGCAAAACACACATTACTACTTTCTTAAAAAAGTCAATGTGTGTTTAGGGCTCAATCTTGCAAACACTTGAGCATGTGATTTTACTCATTTGAATAGTCTAATTTTGGGATCACTCAAATGAGGAAAGTTACTCCCATTTGTAAATATTTGCAGCATTGGGTCCTTAAATGGTAACACTTTGGCTAGGCTGATTTTTATTTTGAAGTATTCAAATGCTTGTATTATTATAGTAGAAGATACTTTCAAAGCACTCTTTCACAAAAAGAGTTCTGCTTTGTAATATGGTCTTGCCTTGGAGGAGGGGTGACTTCACAGGTTGCTTTTCTACTCTCTGAGTAGAATGGTTTCAAAAAACCTTGATAATGAAGTTGTAGTACATGTGGATCTCAGATATTCTGTATCTTCAGCATTGTTTGTCTTTGCCATTGTTGGCAAAGTGTAATTATTCTGCTCAATGGAGACAGTGGCACTTAAAGCAGTATCTTTGTTAGGGCACTGTATGCTCAAGTATTTGTACTTCTTTTCTCTAACATTTCCAATGGCTTCCCCAAATCTAATCCCCAAATCTTAGCCCAAAACTGAACTATTTTTTGGGCTTAATATTAAGTGATAATGTAGCTTTTTGTTTTTTGCATATATACCTGTATGAAGCATCTGAAAATGTCAGTAATACAGTAACTTAGAGAAGCTGACAAAGACTTGGTATCAAAATATCCCACTATATTATTGGTATATTGTCCTCCATTTTCACTCATTTTGGCTTTGTTATGTCTCATGATTTTTTTCTTTTCTCTTGATATTTTCTTCTTCAATTCTCCCAAGTAACAAAAATGACATGTAGAGTCTTTTCCCTTCACACTATTTTTGTAATTTGTTTTGTACACCTTTTTTCTTTCTTAGACTATTTTCCATCTGTTTTGCAGTTCAAGTGAACTTGGAGCTTTCCCTTTCTTGTTTTTTTGATGTGCCATTTTGGATCTCTTACTAACATTTGTGACGCTTAAGTAGGAATTGCCAAATCAGGAGCTTAGCTTTGAAAAATATTTCACATCCACTGAAAGACATTTCTCAACTCACTATTTTAAAATGTTTCTCTAATCTTAACGCGTGTTTAATTCTCTTCTTTTTAAATGAAAAATTTGAACTTGTTTTAAAGGAATCACAGTTACTGAATTTCCTTTTCCTAATGTAGGGTTATCTTTATAGCTCAGCTTCCCAGCTGTATGGAGTAGAAATGAATGCAGACTTTTGCCAGTTGCAAGAAATCATGATTACAAAGTACGAGTTCATTGACAGAATAAAGGTAACCAAATATATGTTTTAGTTTTTGTATTTTTAACTACTGTGTACAAGGTATCTGGTTTGAGTGAGTGGCTGGTAAATCAGCATTCTGAGAAGTTTCTGCTTTAGCTTGTTTTGATCCTAAACAAAGGCTTTGCATTAGGAAATAAAAACCTTATAGTAAAGAGGAAGAGGGAAATTATCAAAATATCAATCACTTAGCCTTTTTCCTGACTGGACTTACCCGTTGGCTCACACAAAACAGATAAATCTTAGCCAATTCTCCCAGTGAAATCAATTGCCACTCACTTCTGTGAAACTGAGTGTATAGAGAATTTCTGTCACAAACACTAAAGTAAATGTCTGTGATTCACTTTTGTTAGCAGAAAAATGTTTTTAGGATTTGCAAATTTGCATCTAAGGATACCTAAAGGACTTAGAATTATTCATATTTCCTTTCATAGAATGCCAGTGTATATGTACCTTCCACAAACAAAATGGGTTTCAAAGAAAGTGCTATCATTATGGGAATCACTTCTCTAGTTTCATTATGGAATAGCTACTAATATTTTAAAGAGGAAAAAAAAATTCCTTTCTGGACCAGACCCATGACTTTATTATCAGCCAAAGTTGGTAAGTAGAGTACGCTGAATAGAATACTGGCTTTAATCCTGTGTTGTATGCACGTGCTCTTGAATGGAGTCACACAAACTGCTGAGTATGGTAATTTCTTGGGTATTAAGGTAACCCAATTTTAACCTAGAAATAAGTAATAGACATATTTAACACAGGGTAAGCAATAGCAGTGGGTTGCTCAATTCAGTCACAGTTGCTGACAGGTTATCCATAACCTTTGGGTTTTGTGTATGTTTTATGTTCATAACACTTTACTGTGATGAAACTGAAAGTACAGTTAGGAGCTCTGTCAAGTTAATTCAGTGGAGCTGGAGATCTATAGGCATGCTTTTCAGCCCTGTATATTTTTATTATAAGCTTTTATGTATTTTCTTCACACCTTGTAATTCTGCTGAAGTATTCATTTTGGAGCATAAAGATAAGATAATAGGTTTTCAAAGCAGTGCCGGAGGACTTAGCTATTTGAGTCTCATTAAATGCTAATTTAGTCATGTGACTCCTGTTATCACACTGCTTTGAACATTTCAATCTTATATTTTTATTTCACCCCCAAATGAATTCTCTCCAGAGGTACATACCAGGTTGAAAAATTGTGAGAATCCAGATGCTGGTCATAATTCATGGCTTAAGTTTGAAAAATATTTTAGAGGCTCTTCTACATAGAGATTGTTTTTTCAAGATATTCTGAATTTTTATTAGAATATGCTCCTAAAGGATAGCAAAGTGAAATGGTATCTTTAGTGGCTAAATCTCTGAGTGAACCTTGTGTTTCTTTGATCAACACTTGGTTTTTTAAAGTACATAGAGGGTTGCTCAGCATCTTTTGCCATTTGAGGAAACATTCAGCTACTGGGAGGAAAGTAAACAGTTCAACAGATCTTAGGAAACTTGAGACCTCAATTCAGAAATTGCCTGTAGTCATGAAAGGCTTGGTGTGTATTCCACTGGATGACTGGGCAGTTTTAAAATCAGTTGCTGCCTCCTCTGTTGTGCCAGCGCACAGCCAAGCAGATCAGAGAGCTGGTTCAGCTGAAACCCAACCCAGCAATATTGGGGTTTTGACTGGAGCAGTATCTGGGTCTGGCTCACTGTGCAGCCAGACATGCTTATGTGGTCCCAAAGTCCCCAAGAGGAATGAGGATATGGGCAGAATGAGGTGCTTAGGTCACTTTGGTCAGTATGGTCACCTACTCTGTAAATGCAGAGTAATTTCAGGTCAAGTCTTAAGTCAATCATTCAGGTCAAGGAATCGACATATGTTAAAGATTTTCCAGTAGTTTAAGCATCTTTCTGAATTGTGGTTTAAAATAGTAAGACTGCCATTAGTATCCTATCCTGTGCATAGGGTTATTCTTCCCCAGATGTAGGACCCTGCATTTGCCTTTGCTGAATTTCAGAAGGTTCCTCTCTGCCCATGCCTCCATAGTATCAGCCACACCTCCCAGCTCTGTGTCATCAGTGAACTTAGAGGCCACATCTCCCCTTCATCCCAGTCATGTGTGGGTAAATTAAACAATACTGGATCCAGTACTGAGCCTTGGGGGACACCAGTAGTGACAGCTTCCAAGTAGACTCTGTGCCAGTGTTTATGACCCTCTGGGATCTGCCATTCAGTCAATTCTCAGTCCTCACTGTCCACTCATCCAGCCCTCATACCCTAACTGTGCCTGTGAGGATGTTGTGAGAAACAGAGCTGAGAGCCTTGCTGAAGTCAAAGTAGACAAAATCCACTGATCTCCCCTCACCCATGCAGGTAGTTGGTTCATCACACAAGTCAATCAGATTTGTTAAGCAGGACTTTAGTGAATCCATGCTGACTACTACTTATCCCTTCAAAAGATATTGCAGTTTGCATTTCTCATTAGATTTGGGATGCATAATAATAGAATATCCTGAGTTGAAAAGGACCCACATGGATCATTGAGTCAGATTGATAAGATTTCTCTGTCTTTAAGAGGAAATCAAACACATCAGAGTGTTAATGAGCATCCATATTCTCCTGTCTCACTTGTTTTGAAAAATGACATGATGTGCTAATATCCTTTTTGGTAGGTGAAAGTAGATGAAATCAAAACAGCTCCTCTTGTGCTGACTGGAGAGGCAGCTGTTTAGTAGGATCCTGCAGTGCCACTGAGCATCCTGCCTTTCCAACATTCCCAGTCCCAATATGCATTGTTAGAATTCAGCTGTCAAATCTGGGTCTGTAGTGTCTTTTCTAGCTATAATCCTTCAGTAACCCACTGACCCTATGAGATGCCTTTTATTATCCTCAAAATAGCTTCAACTAGCTTAACTTCTTTCCTGAAATCACTGGACATTTGTGATAAAATATAGGGAAGTTGAATGTAACAACATTTATGGCACATAGTTCTAAACAAAAATTCAGATGTACTTTATTTTACTTAGCATAATGGATTGAGTATCTTAATTAGAAGAGTTAAATCTGATTAAAAAAAAATTGAAAGGTTATTATGGTTGTATATGTGAGTTTTATCTACTGTGAAGCCAGTGAAATACCTGGTTTTGTGACTGGTTCAAAAGGGTGGTAGCAGCTGCTGTATTAGGCTGACAGGCTTCATGACTTCTCAAAGGCTGTATTTGTCTCTTAATTTATGCCTTGGGAAATTTCTCTCCTTCAGGTGGTTCATGCAGACATCTGTACTCAGCCCTCACTTCTGCAGAAGGCTGATGTTGTTGTAATGAATAATGTCTTTGAATATTTTCTTGACAGACAGGAACAGGCCAGGTAAGCTCTGTGTCCAAACAAGTTACCTATTTCTTTGTAAATATCTGTGTTACCTTGTGAATAATGGAAAACCTTAAGGTTGTGCTTTTTGAAGGCATATACATAATTTATATAAGGAAATTGTTTCATACTGTCTACATCTAATTGTTCTATTAACTGCTAAGGTGTTCTGGCAGTTGTTTATTGTTGAACCCACTGCTGCTTTGTTTACCCAAACCTTGGCTTGAATCCTTGCCCTGATATTTTAAATAGTATCTTGCTGCTAAAGAACCTGAGATTACTGTATCAGCATAAAGCCTAATCTTCAGAAGTAAGAGTCACTGACTGGTGATGTCAGAGCTTTAATATATACAGACAACAAAGCATGGTTCTGAATGATACTGCTAAGAGATATTTGTAAGGATGTGGTAGCAAACAAACATGTGGCTAAGGTTCTCTTTCAGGTACAAGGCACTCACAGATGAGCTTTTGCTAAGCCAGCAACATCCGTTTAAAGTGTAAATAACTTGATCATCCTAAGTTTAGAATGGGCAGTCAGAAAAAAGGAGTACCTGTGTCTCCACTTGGTCCCAGCCAAGTCTGTCATTCCGTACCAGCTTCACCTGCTGCCCTGGATACCAGGTGATAATACCAACCAGACGGGCACAGAGTGGATGGGTGAAGGACAGTGGGGGTTTCAAAATGCCAGGAGATTTATTTCTAGGCACAGGACTGAGAATTCATTTGATTCTGTCATAACTTGGGAATAGTGGTTTAGTGTTGCATTAGCATGAAGACAAATGACATTTGAAGAGTGCTGGAAATTAAATTGTTTTTAGTCTGAATTGCTGTGCTGCAAGAAATGATCTTACTTGCAAACTCAAAAAAAAAAATTAAAAAAGGAATGCCGGAGGCTGTATTAAAGATGCCTTAAGAGAAGTACTTTGTCACGACTGTACGCGAAGTGTGTACATAAAGAGAAGCTTGTTGTGAAGGTTAATAAAGGACTGCACTTCAGGACTGGATTTTCTTCAAACCAAAGGGGCCAAATGTCAATGTTTAGTCCTTGTTCGTAGTGAAGGTCTTGACAATACCAAATGATATGCATGTATGTGTGAGAATTATAAAATTACAAAACCTAACATTGTAAGACCATATATTCCCTGTGTTTTTAATTCAAAGCTTGATTTTATTACTGCAAATACATTTGCTTAGATATTAATAATGACTGATAAGCATGTATTGCAAGTCTTTAAGCTTAGACTACCTCTGGCCAATAAACTGCAAGTGTTAGATTCATTGTATATCAAATATGTGTGTTTTGTCCCAAAAAAAAAACTGGTCACCTGCCTTTAAATATGTTTCAGAGCTTGGGAATTTATTGCTTGTAATGTGAGGAAAAGAGGGTCCTTATTAGTGACAGTTCCAAGTCTTGAGGAATCACTTTCAAAGCTCCAGGTAAGTTCCCTCAGCCTATTTCAGCTGACACATATTGTTATTTTCTGTTAAAGTGGCATTTCTGTAGTTGAAGTTAGCTGCTTGCCAGTATTGCTGTAAGGAAGGATAAGTAATTTTGTGCAGAGATTAAAAGGTGGAAGACTCAGGATTCTGTTTTGAGGTTGACCACCAGCACATCTCCCTGTACGCAGATTGTCCTCGAGTGAAAAGGAAAATCCCAGCCTCTATCAGCAGGCTGCATGAATCATTCTATTAACATGTGTATTAATGAGGCACTGTGAGCTTTTGGAAGTACAGATTAGTGAGAGATGTGCTCTCCCAACTAGCCAAGTGACTACCATCAGGCATCCTGGATCAGTTACATGGCTTTAAATTGCAGCTGGAAGCAAACATAAGAGCAGTGCCTCTTTCAGAGATGTTGAATGCTCTGTGCTGGGCCACGCTCTGCCCTCTGTCTGTGCTTCCATCGGTCATCTTAGATCATGTGTGTGATACCTGGGCAAATTATGTGGCCTAGCTTTAGTTAGGAAACAAAACACTGATCAGACATGACAAGGTTATGTATATAGTGATTTTCTCACAACAGTAGTTAGTTTTGGAGAAATTGAATCACTTGTTGCCTGGATGCTGATGGGTGAAGTAGATCCTCAGCCTCAAAACCAGCAGTGGTGTCATTTGAACTTTTCTTGGAGCATGCTGTAGTCACAGAGCAGCTGAGAAGCCCTTTGTAGCCTTAATACAATGCTCCCTGTGTGTAAAACAAGAAAATACCTGTGATTCTTCCATTATACTATTAGCTGCTCCCTCAGCACATCTGTCAGAATGTCACCCTTTGAATTAGGGTACACAAATGCATAAAGGCAGTTGTAATATGCTGACAAAATATCTAGACTATTGACTGAGATAATTTTTAAAGTTATCTTTATTATGTCCTATTTGAGTTAAAATGGCTTTTCCAGAAATTAATTTATCACTGCCATATAATTTGGAATGACTAATCTCTCATATTATGTCTTGCCTTCTTAATGTTGAAACTCCTTAACCTTGAAATTCCTGCTGTTTCTTAACATGGTGTTGATTTAAGGATCTGCTTTCCTTGTTTCAGACAGATGTACAGCTCAGTCAATGGGTTGAAGAGGTGCAGCTGAACTATGATGTGTATGTGGAAAAGGATGTTGACAGAGAAGCGCTCGAACAGATTCATTTATACAAGATTCTCTAGTACCTGGAAAAATTTACTAGTATTCTTATGATATATATTTTGAGCCTAAAATGAACTTGGATTGATTTGTGTGAATAAATCAGGTCAAAATTAATATTGTGGTTAATTTGAATGATGTATGTGGTTTTTAATGAAAAAGAGTCTTTTGAAACAAGTTTTCTTACTGAGGCATTTTGTCTCAACAGGATATTTTGACTTTTAATTTAGGAGATATCCTCATGGTTTATTTTTTTGCAGAAATGTTAAAAAGAGCATCTATATAGCAAAGCTAAAAGAACTTTTGTTCATCAGTAGCATTATGCACTGCCAATGTTTGCTAAATATATCAAAACTAGGAGCAGTGAATCCTTATTGATGTGAATGATAAGAACGCATTTAGTGTAATATTACATAAAAGCTGTAGTGCTGTTTCATTTTGATATAAAGCATTTATTCTTATCAGTAACAATATTTATTAACAGCATTATCTTTGCTGTTCCTCCTGTGGAATTTTTAGGTTTTCTCTCCAGGTTCTGCTTGATAAGCAGATTATCTACTGGCATATGTTATGAGGGAGGCAAGTTCATCCATTTAGTTAGTTGTCCTTAAGGTGGGTATTAATATATAACACTGAAGGACACCGAGGAGCCATGGAGAATTAATACAGCAAATCCAGGATGATGGAACTCTTTTCCTGCACTTCTTCTGTGGATGGTAGGAAGTGTAATAAGGGGTTAAGAAACTGAAAATTCTGAACAGGTGTCATGGCTTAGCAGAGGCTTGGTGATGGCGTAAAACAGTGGAAATTCGTAACAGAGCCTCCTCAGAGAGAAAAGATCCACATACGCCCACCACATTTATATTTAGATTTTACGTTCTAAGGATGTAAAGCTTTTAGTCAGCTGAAAAGTGTTTTGGGTTTTAGCAAACATTAACAATCCCAAGTGCAAAAATACTATCTTCAGGAGTTTTGGACTAAGCATGTTGTGAATTTAGAAGCACTGTTAAAAAGTTTGCTGCACAACTTATGTCTAGTGTAAATGGGAAAACATTAAATTGGATTTCAGTCTTCAAATGATGTACAGGTCCGTGACTTTGATAATACGTGCTGTAAGCAAAAAGGATCAGTGGCCTTTAGGCACTCACCAACTCAGTAAATAAATGGGACTGTAGAAAGGATAGTGAGTTTTAAGAAGTCTTACTTTCATGTCCTGTTCAGAGTGGCAGAGGATGTTTTAACTTGAGTGATGCTGAACTGCTGCTTAAATACTGTGTTGAATCTATTCTTCATGTGTTTAAAAATATAAAAAGATGGAAAGCTTTTCTTAAAACATTAATTTTATTGGTCATTTGGTTGTCAGTGAGACAGGTGCCCCTAGAATAGAAGCCTAGGAGAGGCCAAGCAGCAGCATGGAGGGGTAATGCAAGGCTAACAGATCTGATAAGGAGAGAATAAAAAAGAAGAAAAGAAATGCATGCACAGTTCAGAATGAGGAAATGAGCACTGTAGTAATCAGTACAGTGGAAGCTGTGACTGAATTGTGGTATATAAATAGGCTGCTATAAAAGGAAAACTGAATGGGTCATGAAAAGCTACTTCATAACCCTACTACCATGTGAGAAGAAAACACCATGTTGGAATGTTTTTTACTTTTTCCAGAGGTCCTGAAAGATCTCCTGAATCAATTGTCAGGACTTGGGGCTCATGGTACTGGGTATGATCTGTGCCCTGCACCTTGTTTTAGTAATATGGGAACTACAACTTTCATTGCAGTTGGTTCTCCTCTTCATGCTGAGTCTTCAAATACTTTTTTTGGGTGTTGATCTCAGATTAAAAGAATTTCAATAGACTGGAGCAGATCACCAGCATATTTAATGACATCTGTATCCTCTGACTGAAAATAGCATGCACGCATCTGGAGCTCATATGTAGCAGAGGGTGCAAAAGGGAAGCTCCCCCTGTCTTTTTTAGACATCAGGAGAAACTCAAGAGGTGAGTTAAAGCTGCTGAAATATATGTTTTCATCTCCTGCTCTTGATGGGTCCTCAGTGAAAATCCTCACATTGACACATTCACTGAGAGGAGGTGGTGGTAATTCAGTTTGGTTTTATCAAACTCATATTAAGAGATATATCTCCTCTGTCCTTTTAGAAGCCTCTTCCTAACGTGACTTCCTAGGGCCAGAGATCACAAGGCCATTCTTCTGGATGTTATGAGCTGCCTAACTCACCTACTGAAGAGCTAGAAACAATGAGTGTATCAACAAGGCAGTAATTGTCTCTTTTCCAGCTGGCCCCTTTCAGTCCTGTTACACATTCCCACACACAAGGGCAGCAAAGGTAAATTGTGATGTAGTTTGCAAAACCTCATGTGAAAGGGGGCAAATCAGTCCTCCCTGTGCAGGCTCAGAAGACCTCAGACATCAGCAGAAATCCTCCCAAGGGTGTGTGTGTATTGCCTCAACTAAGGTTTTGTTGTTTCAGCTTGAGGAAGCTGCCAGAGTATATTCAGCATATTGAGTCCTTGTCTTAGTTCTGCTACTGCTGAACTGGTATTTGGCCAGTGATTGAACTTTTCTCTTCCTTGGTGTCTACAGTGAAAATGAGAACAACAAATCCAGAATCAGAGCAAGGTTGTAAATTAATTGAGCATCAGTTGCTTTGAGATTGTCATATAAAAAATGTTAAACAGCGGAGCTCTTCTTTGTAAAGTGACCTAATTTAAAAAACCTGAAGGGCAAAGATAATACCAGTACCTCTCTGAGATACTTTCTGGCTCTTTCCTTCACCTGACAGCATTGAAAAGGAAGCACAGCTTAACCACAGTCCAGTGTTGAAAATGCATAAATAATTGTTTCCTAGAGCTCTGTTTTTACACTGCCCTTGCTGTTAGCTGGCCCCTGATGTTGGGAGGAAGGGAGAGGGGAGATCTGGCACCCAGATTTGTGGGCCTGCGTGCAGGGCAGCCCTGTGACAGCTGCTGGAGATGTCACGGTGGCTGCCACAAGCTGCCAGCCCTCGCTGCCCCGCACAGCTCTGGGGCTGCACAGCTGGTGTGTGCTGCCACTGCCTGTGAAACCCAGCTCTGTATGGCCTGACAGAGGTCCCAACCCCTGCTGCAGCAGCAGTACGCTGACCAACTGTAAATCCAAAAATTTCACTTTTGTAGGCCTGAATTAAAAAGAAATTAATGAGGGAGATGAATATCTGCAGCACTTATAATCGCCAGGAGTTCCTGTCACACATGGAAAGCAGCTCTGCTATTCCCCAGTAGCATAACTTCCCATGCAGTACCCTGGTTTCTGCAGAAAGAGCCATCTGAAATTTGAACCCATCAAGAACTAGTAGTAAAAGAAGTACTCTCTAGTAGTAAAAGAAGGAAAAAAATACTCTGGATCCACTGTAGTAGCAAAAAAAAAAGTCAAGATATAAGAATGATAGATTCACTTTGCAGACAGGACATGTTGCAAACATCTTTACTTGAGACTGTTTTCAAAAAATCACCAAATGCCTAGTGAGAACAGCCTGGCTCTCAAAGGGGTGTCATTTTCCATGTGCCTTTTTTCACAGTAAGCAATACTGGAAGGGGCTAATGCCCATGCTTAGGAAAACTTGACAGTGGAGCAAGCTTGAAAAAAACCCAAATCCAGCTCCTTCATTCCTCACCGTCTGTATCCTCCTCTCTTTCCTAGGTTTCTCCTGTCTCTTGTCTCTTCTCACTGTCTTTTCTCTCGCTGCTGCCAGTGCCAGGACCAGCCATGGTGCAGCAGGAGTGTGCCTGAGTGTGGCTGCAGCCTGCACGTTTTCTCTGTTACTGGAAGACAATAATAGAAAATGTGACTGGTAACTTCAGCTGAACAGCTTCTAGGACTCGCTGCAGGCTGGAATAATGACAGAAACATTTTTAAGAGGTTGCTTTGCACTCTCCAGGAATTCCTGGTGGGAACTCCAGTGAAAAGAGCAGACCCTGCTCCATCTCATCTCTGAGGCCTCACAACAGACTCAGACTCTGGCTGCCCCTGCCCACCCTTGGTAAAGCAGGAGTTGACATGCACAATGCCAGTACTCTTTGCCAGCATTTTAACAAATGGCCTCTCATATGCCCTTGGGCTGTCACAAGCCCTATGCAGTAGAGGGAATTGTATTTGTAGAAATAAGTGGGAGAAGAAGGGGGTGCTGCTTTTCCAACAAATGCATGTTAAATGCTCCTGGAAATGTCTATACTTCCACACATTCATTATTTGAGAGCAGATTAATGTGGCACAGTGTTTTGGGGAAGGGAGACTGAACATCATGCTTAAGTGCACATGTTTTTTAAATACCTTTGCAGAAACTCAGTGCAGCTTGTATATCTTAAAAAATTGACATGTTTGTGTCACCCTAGGGGTGAGTCTTTTCCAACAGGAACAATGTAGCAGTATGTTGGAAGGCTTAGTTAGAACTGATCACCTCCAGTATCCCTTGTAGCTTGTAATGTAGGAGTTCTCTATGTGAAAACATGCTGGAGTCATTCCCCATCCAAGAAAGAGATATTAAAACCCCGAACCCAGAAGTTCACTATTAGTTGTCTTTTGTACTAAGTTTTTGCTTCCCCCCTTTATTTCTGCTGCATGACTTGTGTGATGGCCCAGCTCCTCTGGCAGTTGGGGTTCCACTTTACCTGGACACCCTGTCTTGGGGATTTTTGCATTCATGCTTCTCTGGAGACTCCTCTTCTTCCACTTGGTGGGACAGGAGAACAAAAGAGTTTTCATTCTTCATCACAGGGTGCATCAGAGTTCCAGGTTCTCCTGACCTGCCCCTCTCTCTGTGAAAGTGGCTGTGATGGCTTACTTTCCATCACCTGGCTCAAGCCCCACCAAGCACCTATGGGGCAGGGGGGAGAGGGAAGGTTCTGAATCTTTGCTCAGCTGTGCTTCCAGGGGTTTACCCAAGCAGGGAAGGCAGCCAGCCAAAACTGTCAGCCTGAGCTGGAAGTAGCAAGGATGGGCAAAGTTGGCAAGAGATTTCATGCCAAAATTTGCAGTACAATAATTTACCAGAGTTGCTGGCAGCCCCAGCAGAAATCAGGCCCTAATTATTTGCAGCATTGTGTGAGCATATGTATTGTGTATGTGTGTATATATATCCAGCAACATAGTGAGACTCTGCTTATCCTTGAGAGTCAGCCATGTACGCAAAGGTAGAAGAAAGGAAATAATATTTCCTATCTTCCAGATGGGGCATTGAATTTTGTGTGGTTATTGTGATTGTGTAAATGAGGTAATTGCACACATGTGATCTGCTGTAGGATTGCTGAGTGCACTCTTTGTGGTCAGTATTTTTAAGGACTTAAAGAGCATAGTAAAAATACATAGCCATTAAATAATCTCTATTTTTAAAATTACATTAAGAAGATAAGTAGTACACAATTTACTGGGGGTGGGGGGCAGTGGTAAAGGAGGGGAGCAGAACATTACTGATGGCTTCCTGGCAAAACAATTTAAGACACAAGCACCAAGCTGACACACAGATAAACATTTTAAGGGCACTGGTGTAATGAAGAATTTGGGTGGAGCTGTCTGCTTCCAATTGCTTGAACAAAGAAACTAACAAAGAAAAAATTACTAATTTTGATAGTAAGCTAAACAGAAAGTTAACAAAACATCAGGCTTAGCATCTTAAAATGAGACTAAGCATGAAGTACTTGCTGACTAACTAGGGTTGGATGCTGAGGAGCAGTATTCTCTACTAGAGATCACAGATGCCTACATGTTTTCTTTCAGCCCTGTGTAAGGTGTTCATGCTGAGAATGTAAGTAAACAAGTATATCAGCTTTGTCATTTTGAAAGCATTTTGAATAGTAAGTACATTTCAGTTAGGAGCTGTGGCAATTAGGGAAAACAATTATTTGAGCTAGTAAGCTCAAGTAATCTTGACCTACTATGCTACACATATGCACTAGGGGTGTCACTCTCAGAGGCCTACACAGCAGCATCTTGGACATTTCCACTGATTCTTTCCCACTTGTGTATGTTAGAAAGACTGAACCAGTGACTGGTAGGTCATTGTCAGCTCTCCATTTTTGCCGGGGCAATAACCCAAAAGGTCATCAGCAAAAACATCCAAACCAGAGCCAGGCAATGAAGGGGTTGCCAAGCATTCAAGGATTTTATGGTCAAAACTGCCGCATGTGTGAGCACAGCATGGGGTGTTGCAATACTGCGAGTCTGTGTTTCTTAATGCACTAACTGAAATTAGTAAGGACCACCACTATTTGTTTAAAATCTCTGTGTCATAGTCTGACTCTCTATTTCAGTGTCATCAAGGTGTCAGCCAAAAATTCTGAGGTGGCAGTAAGATTTGTTATGGAAGAATCCAAAATATGTACAGCTTTTGGCCTCCTTTTGGGAAGGGGCTGATTGAGGAGTACAGTACATGTTGTTGGCCTTTATTTCTATTTAATGACTCATATTTTGGACCTTATTCCTGTTTGTCTTTCGATGCCAAACAGAAATTACTATTTAGGTCAAGCTGCTGTGTGGTACTAATAGAAGCAGACATCAGTTTTGTTGATGGATTTCACAGCTATGCGTTTTGCAGAATGAAGTTCCCTCTCTAGGCTACTTCTGACATTTAGCTGTGATGGTGTTAATACTGGCTTCCAGTGCTACCTCTGCTATTTTACTTGCACATGCTCAGCTGGGGAATATAGCTGGGAAGTTACCTTTCAGCTATAGCTTTTTTTTTCCATGCAGACTCTGAGTACAGCATCTTCTGCTCCCAGATCCAGCTTTCAGGCCACTTCATGCTGCTGCTGCATGGTCCCAGCTCTTCACTTTTCAGCTCTTCCTATGCACTGCTGTGATCTGTGATCCTCTTGGCCTGCCTGTGGGCTGCTGCCAGCTTTGCTATGTTCTGCTTCTTTTACAAGGTTGTTTTCTAACTCTGACTCCCCTGGCTCTTGCTTAATGCTTCCTGATGAGTGACAGCTTTGGAGAGGAGCCTCAGCTCATGCCCTGAGGTTTTCAGCCTGTGTTCTCGTCCATGCCTCTACTCAGATGCTGGTGTGTCTCTGCAGTGAGGTTTGCTGCACTGCTGCCCTGGAACCAGCGCCTTGGGCATGCATGGAAACAGGAGACCTGCTAGCTTAGGTGCCAGAAGGCTGGCACCAGCAAATGGGGGTGCTGCAGGCTTCTCATCCCTTCCCATCAGGTAACAGAGTCAATTGAAGTATCTCTGCAATACAAAGCTGACACAACTTAAGAGCCATCATGACCCATTAGATGGTCCATGGGAATTGGTAGATAAAATTAAAGAGGGGTGGTTTGGCTGACTGCTGGTGTAACTTTCTGTGTGCAAGACTTCACTGAATTTCCTCCAGTTCTCATCATCTGAGTATTGATCTTCAACTTTGAGCATCAGGATTTCTGAAGACAGATCTTTAAACCAATTTATGCACAGAGCTACAGCCAAAGATATGAGTTGAGAGAGAAAGTATAAAAATGGATCTAAGGTACCTTTGAATTTCTGCATTATCTGTATTACTTTGCTTGCTCTGATTAAATGATACATTAACTTGCAGAATAGCCAAACATGAGCTGGTTAGCAGTCCTGGGGCCTCTACTACCAGCTAATGTCTAGAAGGCTAAATGTACCTCTTAAGGCTATTTTCTTCCTTTCCATCCTCAGATTTTTCTGCAGGTAAGAGGAAGCCTAAAATCACTTGATTTTTGTTCACTTTCTGAGAGGGCTGTGCTAACAGGAACAGCATGACTGAGCACAGCCTGACAATTAGGTCTGGTTTTACTTACACAGATAACAAGATGGTTTCTGTGAAATTTCCCAATCCCTTTCAAACAGATCCTCTTTTACAGTACATGTATGATATAAAATCCAACACTGCATTAATTTTCTCTTCCTGGTTTTGTCTCTTGTTTTTGTGTTTGGTTTTGTTCTGTGGTGTTTTCTTTCCTGGTCAATTGTTTCACCCAAACTTGGCATGCAAAGTTGCTGCCACCCTGAAACTCTCATAACAGAAGGATGTTCTTACTACTTACTGCTTTGAGTTGATAGTCCTGCTCTGAACTAACAGAAGTTAGTTGCAGCACCCACATTTAATCATAACTGTGCATATGGTTCAGCTCTCACAGATAACAGGGATGAGTAGCTAGAAAGATGTATTTTACTGCAACTTCGAAGCAGACCATTCAACCCAGAGCTAATGGCCTTTCAGAAATAAGGATTTATTTTATTTTACTGTCTTGTAGCTACAGTGATAAGGTATTCAGACTTGGGATTATTCCTTCATCCTTCCTGCAAGTGGCTGCAAAGGACATGAAGGGAGTGGAGAAGACAGAGCTGGTCAGGAACTAATTCTGTCCCCTCCCCATGTAGGCCTTAATAGTAATGAGGGACCTTGGCAGAGAGGAGAGCAGACAAACATCCTGTATTTGTGGATGACATCCCTTCTCACAGCCTAAATTAACTGTCAGAGATACCTAGGCTCCAAAACAAGTATTTCCAGTGCACGGGAATGGGCTCACCTTACTGCTGTGATCACAGCACAGGAGAAACAAGGCGCAAACTTCTCAGCATGACCAGAGCAGCCTGGTGGCTGTCTGGTGGGAAAAGTGGTCATACACTGCTCTGTGCCCCAGAGAGGAGGTAAAGCCTCCAGACCCAGCAATGACCTGAGCCTGGTGCTAAACCCTGTCTAAACAGAGTGCACTGCACCACACCTGAGCCCTTTCCATCACTCCCAGCCCTGAGCAGCCATCTGTCTGTTCCTGCAGCCATTGGGTTTGCTAAGTCCGTGAGGACTTCTCCCCATAAATTCCCACTTTGCTTCTGGCATGACCTAGACTGTTTTCTCTGCCCTGCCTTGCAGAACCATCCCACCTCTCCCAGTCATGCTTCCTTTACTCTTCCTACAATGTTTTCAGAAATGTATATAAGCTATTACCTCACCCCTTGGTGAGGGAAGTTGGAGAGTACAGAGGTCAATAGACTGGGATCTCTTTCTGCCCAAACTGGTTCACCTGGATATTGGTTCCCAACCAGTCTTCCTCTGAGGTTGGGAAGGGGCAAGGCAAGAGGAAAGAAGGAGAAATCAGGAGCAGGAGGGCTTGTTCTGAAAGAATTGGGGGAAGACTGCTCCAGGAAAGAAGTCTGCCTATCTGTCCCTGGGAGCTGGGGTGATGCACAGCTGATGGACAGTCATCCCTTTCTCCTCTGTGTGCTCCACAGTTCCAGGACAGTTTTAGGGCACTGGGCATCCAATCAAGAGGAAGAGGTGGATTAGGGGGAAGAGGAAGCAAGGAGCCAGCAAAGGACTGGCAGCACCTAATGAGTGTGTAGCATGGGATATCAGTTAACACTCCTCCTTCCATGGGGAGCAGCTCTCTATGAAGTTCTGGTCTTCCACTGCTATGCTCATTGCCCATAGAAGATCCTGAGCTGGAAGAGACCCATAAGAACCCTTGGATGCACTTGTCACCTGTGTTTTCCAGAGAAAGGCTTTCCAGACTGGCTGTCAAGAAGGCTCTTTCCCATCTACACTGCACTCAGACCCTGGTTTTTAAAGGAGCTCTCCCTGCAAAGCCAAGGCTCAGCCTAATACTTTTAACCACCTCTACCAGTGTTTTTTTCAGAAGCCATATTTATGACAATGTATACATTAGATACAGATTGCTTAATTTGCATAGGTGCCAGACACAGAGTTGCACGAAATTTGGCAGGTAAGCCCAGACACAGAGGGTGTGAGTGTTGCAAGAGGGAGGAGACAGGGCCCTTGTTTGTGTTCCTGTGAGGATTGCTGCTGGCAGAGCAAAATGGGTTTAACTGGAAACCAAAAGGTTTCAGATCAAAGCTGTGAAAAGGCTTTAAAAAACATTCTGCTCTCCTCCTGCACTGCACCAGCACTCTTATTCTTTGCTTTAAGCAAAAACTTCGACTGTGGTCAAATTATTATGCGTGTGAAGAAGGTGCCACACGAGGCAGCTGCAGCAGGTTTTGGCAAATCAAGGAAGTGTGAGACATCCTGGTGGAACCTTGTCAGGTTTAGCAGTGATGGTTTCACATTGCCTGCCCATCTCCCCCACCTCCCTGCCGGGGTCCTTGCCCGGGCAGTGGCCAAAGCAGGGGCTTGCTGCCTCAGCCTGTGGAGAAATTGCCCTTCTCAGCATCTGCTCGTTTGCCCTGCTGCTGGGACAGACGGCACTGGAGAGGGCACTGCAGACACGGGGGAGCTAAAGCGTTACAGATTGCTGCTGTTCAGGTCGGCAGAGCCCATCTGTCAGGGCCTTTAAAATGCATCAGTCCTAAGATGGAGGTTTCCAGTTCAAATCAAGCAGCTTTACTTTGATGCTATTTAGTAGGATCTGCTCATAATGAACCAAAACCTTGGATAGGCACCACTGCCTAATCTAGCCAGGCCGTTCAGTGCATTAGCACAGGCAGCTTGCTGCTCTTCCCTGCAGAGTGGAGCAAGGTGGGGAACACACCTCATCCCTTCCTGTTCACGGCCCAGGGCTTTGTCTTAAGCCAATAACAATGGTGGGCTTGTGCAAAAACACCCAGCTGTAAATGAGAATATCCCTTGCAAATGCTCGAATCCTGCTCTGCTACCTGGCAAAAGAGATTAATATTCTGTGACTATGATACCTCAAGAAGGGGAGATATGTTAGAGTTTTGCAGACCCTTTGCTCATGAATGAGAGGATCTATGTAGAGTTTAAGATGTCTCAAATTGTACACATTTTATGAGTTTTCCAAATGGAGACATGGCAGAAATTTGCTAAAAAGCTAATTGAAATTTTGCCTGTTGGCAAAAGGCCAACTACAAGTAATTATATTGAAGGCACCTGTTGACAAGTGAGGTTACTTAAACCCTCTTTGATTTGATCACTTGTCTTTGGTAAGCAGAAGGCACATCATTGGACATTTTGCTGTCTGAGGCTGACAGCAGATTGGAGATGTGGTTATCCGCCTTCACTTACTCCACTCTGAACGCTCCCTCTCAGAGGCTGAGTGGGATGGCCATAAAATAGGGAGGATGTGGTTTCTGAATTCTGAATCATGACAGTTTTCACCCAATACTCTTATTTGTAGTAATGTAAAAATTACAGCCTGGTAATTAGACTGTACTTGGTCTCAGGCTCTATGGGCCTTGACACTAGCTTTTTAAATTTCAGGACTAACCAGACTAATCAAATTTAATTTTTTAATTAAAAGTTCTCCTAAACTGATACTCAATTGGAGGTCAAGCTGAGCAACAGCGTTTTGGAAGTCATTCTGTTACTTACACTTCTGTTTGCATAGTTCAGCTGGTGCTTGGGTCACTTCTCTTCGGCATCTGGGTAACAGCAAGTGAACAAAGCCTCGAGTGATTAGCAGTGGTTGCTGCAGGACCCCAAGAGGTGGCTTTTAGAGATCTCTCAGCAGACTTCAGTTCTGCCTGGTGATAGGATTGTCTTGGTCCCTGACCAGGACAAAACAGGGATGTAGTACATGCCACAGATATTCCCCATGAGAACTTGTGCTCACAGCCTGAATTCTGCTGCACTAAGCACCAACTCCAGTAGTACATACAGGATTAGATATTGGTGTAGGACCTGACCCTCTATGTATGACCCTCTTCTAGTCTTTTCTCAAGTTAGCTGACTCATATAAACCTGTTACTACTGTGATATTAACATTTTTCCTGGCTACTGTTCAGTTTATTCAGGCTTTAGACCACTCTTGCTGCGAAAGCTGAGCAATACTAAAATGCAGAAATATGACCATCACAGTACATCATAAACTGCCTACACCGCATGGAAAAATCTGACAGATGCCTTACTTAGAAATGCTTTGGTTTAGGTGTGTCATTCTATTTGGTTTCCTTAATATGTTGCTATGAAAACAGGGTCATGGTTTAGAATTTAATCTTCTCTCTATTCCTGACTTCAGTTGTAACCTCTGTCCACGTCAAAATTAGCTGGAACTTCATCTTTACAGCACACACCAGGTTTGAAAGAGATCTTTTTTTTTTTCCTTGTAAAGATCTGAAACCTAAGCAGAAAAATAATCAAAGTTTTCTCGTCCTTTTAAATTATTCTCAGTGTGAATTGATTTTGTGGTATTGATTTTAGGAATACTATCTGTAAGCAGTTATATTTTGTGCAATATACTAAATAGTAAAAAAAATGGAGTGCATGCATTTATAAAAAATAGAATACTTCATTTATACATATAACACATGCCCCTATGTACACAGACGTAATCATAGAAATTCTGTAAATCAATGTAGCTGCTGGTTACATTATTTCATTTATTTTCTATTCTATGTTCTCACTAGAAAAGATGATAATAACCTTGCAGTTGTTTTTTTCAGTGTAGAACAGCATATACATTTGAAACTTACTGGGAAAAAACACCCCATGAATTTCCTGCATAGCTGAAAAGGTGAGTAAGAAAATCAGTGAAAGATGCATTGCAGCATCACACAGAATAAACCAGGCAGCACTTTAAAGTTCCATATTCACTACAGGAAGGTGGATTTAAATTCAATGTCACAATGCCATCACCTCCCCTAGCAGAAATGATGCCTTGTTTTGTTTTAAGGTTGTTGCATTTAAGCTATTAAAAAAAGAACCCCAAAAAAAGCAAACTTTCCCTGGATATTTTCTGCTTCTTCCTTGCTTCAAAAGGATCCAGGAAATGGTAGACGTAGACATACTTCAAATCCAAGTGCAGGGCCTGATGAATAGGCTGCTGCCCTTTGCCAGGGAGACCCAGCAGGGAGGGCTGGACAGGGCTGGTGCAGGGATGAAGGGCTCCTCGGGGCTCTCCCTGGATGGGGCAAGAGCTGCATTTATGCATAATCATTTCTGAACTGCATATTTTCCACTCTTTTATCAGTTGTCTGCTATTGCTTAAGGGTTCACCTACATGCTGGTTTTGGGATTCATTTACCTGTAGATAGGTTCAGAAAGAGGTATGGGTATAATTCTATGGGTATAAGCTATAGTGCTAAAAGCACTGTTAGCCTAGCAGAACTATGTTCACCCTAGCAGGGCAGGCAGTCACTTTATTTATATTCTTAAGTTTAAAACAACACCAAAACATTACAAAAAATTAAAGCATTGCTGAGAGCAAAGAGATGAGATGAATGAGTTATATTGCAAAAGCTGGTTGGTATACTTTAGTGTTTATAGTGCTAATGTTGGTACTTTAGAATAATCTGCTTTGTAACTTAAAAATAAATTCATAAATCTTTCTGTTTATTTTAGTTGTGATTATTTTGTCTTCAGCTCCCTTGTCAATGTGTGGCTGCTTAACAATAATTAAACTGCACCTTATGAAATGCATTCATCCAAGATGGTTTCTTAGAAATCTTAGCTTGCCATGAATTGCTTTAGTCCACTTGGTATTGCAGGTTGGGACTCATTTGCCTCACCACAGCAAGGAGAACAATTTAAGTAATTTCACTTGAGGTCTTGGTTAGCATTTTTACCACCATGAAATGATGTAAGAATTAAAGGATAACAGGAAACTCCCTCAAATCACATTTTCAAAGGCATTTTCCAAAAGTGGCCATGTTAGTAGACTTTATTGTCACCAGAAAGCCTCTGGTAATCTTACAAAGCATCTGCAATTAATAATCTTCTCCTCCCCCATCCTTATTTGTTGCCAGAAACAGCTTATAAATGCTCAGTTGAAGATGGTGCCAAATTTTGCTTTTAGGCACAGTTGTAAATAGAAAATATTTCCATTGATTTTGGTAGAATTATTCCAGATTTACGCAGATACAAGTGGAAGCCAAATTTTGCCTCATGGGGTCTTCCCTCAGGGGTGCCACTTGGTGCCCTGATCAGCTCCAGAGCTGCTGCCTCTGGTGTCAGTGGAAGGCAAGTGCTTCAGCTGAATCTGCCCATAATTTGACAAATTATTATAAACAGATTTGAACAAATATTTCTTTACAAAACAAACTGGTCAGCAGGCTCCAGGCTTTAGTCTCCTGATGCATTTTACAGGAAATAATATCAAGTTAGCTATTATGAAACTACCCCCTCCTCACACACGCATAATTGCTTTCAGCTTGCTGATTATTACCCTTTCTTTAACTGATAGAGTGAGAAGAGAAATAAAAATATCTCCATACAGTAGGCCAAATCCTCATCTGGTATAAATCCACATAGCTCCATCAAAGTCAATAAAACTATCTTGATTTACACCAGTCAAAGAGCTGATGCACTATAATTTTTTTACTTGCTTTTAAAAATAAAACCTTATGTGATTGTGTAACCAACATTACAACAGAAACCAGCATTTTCTTTTGTGAAGTTAAACGTGCCCTCCCTTTGACTTGCAAACATTTTCACTTAGATAGTCCTTCTATAGCTTTTTTTTCTTTTGCCTTCTGGCAGAATGCTCCTACCACCCTTGTGTCACGAGTGAGGTACAAACTGGACTGAAAGATAATCACACACAGAATAATCATTTCATGGAGTAATGAGGACAAAGAATGAAATGCTACCACTACTCTTTCACCCAAAAGAGGACAGACAGCTGAACAAAGCACAAGATTTAAAAAAAATTATTTCTGACATTCTCTCTGATCACCATTCTCCAATTAACAAACATATATTAACAGCACCAAGAAATTAGTAATTCTTACTCAGGAATGACAGTACTGTAAACTACTATTATAGATTAAGTTTCTTGAATAATCTTTAAAATAATACAATGAGACTTATTACAAGGTTTACTGAAGCTGATAGAAACTCTCTATGTGCTCTCTCTGGACAAACATTTCTAAAGTCTTTTTTTGGTGTTCTCTAGGGGCTGTGAAACACATGGTGATTTTTTTTAGGAATACTCTTTGTCTCTTGTACTTCTCAAAAGCAAAGCAAGCTGTTCACAGCAAATCTTTTACATGCATTTCAGGGAGTTCTAAGCATTTCCGTGAAGTATATTGTCAAATAAAGGTCTGGTCTTTCCCAAGGTTTCAATTTTTGGCTGGTTGTTTTGATTGATGTGTATATTCAGAAATTCAAGATAATTTCAACAACATCTTGAAAAATTTGGAATGATTTCATTGTTAATGCTGACACAGTTTTGTACTGCTTCAGCAAAGACTTTTAAGAAAATGTACATTTATTAATTCTTGGTGTTTAGCAGCCCCTAACAGCATGCTGGTAGTTTTATTAAAGTTAATGGTGATATTTGCAGGACTGCAGCCTTTAATTTGCAATTGCTTTTTTGAATACTGTAAAAAATTAAAGTGTAATAAAAAATGCATTAGCATGAATTTCCAAATGTTTCCATTCAAAATGCAGTCAAGATTAAGCTTGCTTTTAAATACATATTCCATTGCTTTGAATAACATCTTGAAAATCATTCTATGATGTCTGGAATTCAGTTGCAAAGTTGAATTGGAATTCAGTCACACATTCTAGTCTCTGTTTTAATACATATTTTTTGATTCATAGACCAGTCTGAAACACATTCAGAACTGACTGGAAAAGTTTTCATAGTAAGACTTGAAAATTTGCATATCATATTTGGTGGATATAACTACACTACTTATTTGGATTTTGAAAAGATTGCTTATCTCCATTACACTGGGAGCCCTTTAGCTTTGGGATCCTGCTTTCTCTGAAACCATCAGTTTAGACTGCAACCCTTATTTTGTGATGAGGCTTTTCCACCTGGTCAAATGAATGCATGACTGAGAGGCTGATGCAGAAAAATTAAATTCAGGTCCTTTATTCCCCCTCTGTAAAATATGACTTGAAACATGATCCCTGTAGAAGACAGGAGTTTCCCAAGTTCTTTATAAGCAAGTATTTATAGGCAGGCACTCTCCAGATCTGTGCAGAGGAAGTTAAAAGAAAACAGAAATTGACAGTTGGCATTGAAAGAGTGGCCCTGATGGAAAGAAAGGTGGTGGTAGTTCTTGGCAGACAATTCTGTCACATGCAGGGTAGGCCAGCCTTGGGTAACATGGGTAAGGAGTATCAAGGCCTGTTGGGGACAAACAAAAGCTGTTCAAAAGGTCAGGTCCTGTCCTCCCTGGTACTGATGCAGACAAGTTGCTACAAAACGTAGACAATGAATCAAAAATATTCTACTTAGCTAGAAAGTGCAGTCTTTCACAGGGCCACGGTTCAGGCTTGCAGGCTCTCAGGACATTTCTGGGGCTGTGGGAGCTTGGCTTTCAAGCTGATGGTTCAATGACCCAAAACAGGAAAGAGGCTGCTCTCTACAAAGCTGGTCCCATTTCCTACATAACCATGGAGCAACGGTCTCATGCCAGTATGGGCACTGGCAAGGGTGGAGCTTTTCCTAGAAAAATCACAATTGTTCTTTGAGGAAGTTGTGCCAGCTGACACTGAGATGGATGCTCTATGCACAGGCCATTTTCCAGCAGGCTGAAGACCAGAGACCTGGTGGCTGTGGTGCCCCATTTTGGGGAGACTTCAGTCAGACTTCAGCTCTGATTGCTGAAAATTTGTCAGAGCAGGGTGCTTCCAATGACATGCTTCAAGTTCAGAACGTTTCAGCAGAAAACGCAAATGTAACCAGTTCCAACTCAGGGTTCTTTTCTCTAAGCATAAATCACATATGAAATAAGTGTAGGGGATTTAGGTAACATCTTAGACTGCTTTTATTTTATACACTATGGAAAAACTTTTATTTTATTCCAAAGTGTAGCAACAAAGATTGAAAAAGAACACAGCACCGTCTTGCCTTAAGCATGCTGAAGCTTTGTGGCATCTTTAGACTGGATTCTTGGCTTTGGAGACTAGAGAAACCAGAAAGTGTACTGGAAGTGAAGTCAAAACAGCTTGTTACCCAACTTGCTTTTTCCACAAAGTATTGAAATATTAAGAACTCAGGCAAATAATGCTTGGATGCAACTCTCTGTTTGTGTTGAGTTCCATTTGTTTGTCTGAAGCCAAACTGGGTGAATAATTTTGCATTCTTTATCTTAGCAGTCAATTGTGTGGTTCTGAAATTTGAGTAAGATAAGATCACAAACAAGTAAAAGCATGTGTAGGCTGAAAAATCAATATGTTTCAAAGTAACAGTTGAGAAACAAATTATTCCTGTACTAATAGGCTGAAAACTGGGCTTAGAGATTCTGCTAGAGCTGATACTATTGCTAACAGTAAAGCAGTTTAAAATAAATTTGAGCTGCCTCCATAGTTATGTTAATCATGCCATCACCTAGAAATAAGGTGGCCAGAAGACTAAAAATGGTAACTGTAGCATTAAGGATTTTTTAAGCTTCTCAGTTTTTGCATAATAATCAGATCTTGACAACTGTAGTTCTTTTTAACTACTCATCCTGAGGTCTGCCCTTCCCATTTATCCTGAAATTTTCTAATATTTTACTTCATTATTCAGAGTACCTTCTTGCTAAGTTATTTTTCAGTTCAGGAGTCAAGGTCATTGTCAGCAAAGAGTGGCAGAATTCCTGCTAACTTAATCATATTCAGATCTATACCATGCCCAACGTCAGAAAGCCATTAATAACTAGCTTATACCAACCCAAGTCTGTTCTCTGAGTGATGATACATCTCAAAAATAGTTTCCTGTAAATGAAATCTACATTTCTGTACTTAATTGTTACTTTCTAGGAGTCACTCTTTTGGTAACCTTTACACTTTGCTGAAACAAAACACTCATTGCCCTTGAGAACCGCCTGAATAAGCAATACCTAATATACAATTCAAGAATAATCAAAGGCAATAAGTGAAAACTGTAGGCTAGCAGCAATATAAAGGTTCCCTTTGCCACCAGAATCTGCCTTTTCCAGCCCCTGCTTCATCTACAGCATTTAAAATGGTGTGGAATTCAAACACCTGTTCAAAAATAGAACTTCCAGTCTCTGTGTCTGGTGCATAATTCACCGGGACAGGACTAAACATCACCTGTTCGTATTTCTATCTATATGCTGAAGTCTCCTGAGTGCTGACTTGGTCTACAAGCAACCCATACATGTACTGTAAACATCCATGTATTTATAACACAGAACCCCAAAATTCTCATCACCTCAGCAAATGACTGACTTCTTAGAAAACTACACGTGCAATAGCAGTCTCATCCTCTTTGAAGGTATTTGTTTCGTTAACAGCATTTTTGAGAGAAAAGCTGTGTTGACAGGAAAAAGGACAGGCTGTTGAGTTATGGGCCTGTGGAATGATTGCGGTAGGGAGGACTCAGCAGCAACAAGTAGAACTGTAAACTAAGATGATTGTCAATTCAGTGCTTTGAT